AAGTCATAACAGTATTTGTCCTTTTACAGTTGGCTTGTTTCGCTCAGCATATTTTCATTCAGCTCCATCCGTATTGTAGCATGTATCAAGACTTCATTTTTCCTACTGGCTGAGTAGTATTCCATTGTACGTACGTACCACATTTTGTTTATCCATTCATCTGTTTATGGACATTTAGGTTGTTTCCATCTTTTGGCTTTTTGATTTTTAAATGTTGACAAGTAACTCAAACATTCAGAAACTTCCATGTGACTCCCACTCTGTGGACAAGATGAAACTTGTCTGGGAGCTGAATTTGGATTGTGGACCATCAGTGTGCATTTGGTGGATGGGTTGCCGTATTAAAGGAGAAGTTAAATGCAAAGAACATTAAGATCCCTTCCAATTAGAAGATTCTGGGGTTGCAAAATTTCTCTCATATATGAGACAATCAAGGCCTGGGCTTGGAAAGGGGCAGTGAAAATTAGAAGAAGCGACAGATAAAAGAGAGATTAAGAAATAATAGTAATAATAATATCCTACATTTATACACTACTTTATGGTCTATAGACTTTGTCATTGGAAGCAGGAAAGAGTAGAGGCTCAGAGGTTAGACTCTGAAGTCATATTGCCTGAGGTTCAAATCCCAGCTCTACAATGAATTTCCTGTGAGGTATCAAGCAAGTCACTAAACCTTACCCAGTCTCAGTTTCTCAAGCACTAAAAAGGGAAGGATGCTAATGATGTCACCCATCTCATATAGTTGTTGGCTGATTAAATAATAAAATGAAGAATAATACCCCTCACCAAAGATGTTCTCATCCTAATCCCTAGAACCTATAAACAAGTTACATGGCAAAAGGGGCTTTGCAGATGTGATTAAAGTTAAGGTCCTTGAGATGAGGACAGGATCCTGGATTATCCAAGTGGGCCCTTTGTAATCACTTAAGTCCTTAAAAGTGGAAGAGGGAGGGAGAAGAGTGAAGCAGAGGGATGCTTCATGAGGACTCCCCCACGCACTGTTGCTGGCTTTGAAGATTGAGGAAGGGGGCCACGAGCCAAGGAATGTGAGTGGCCTCTAGAATCTGGAAACAGCCCTCAGTTTATATCCAGCAAGAAAACAGGGACCTCACTCCTACAACCCTAAGGAACCAAAATCTGCCAACATTCCAAATAAGCAGGAAACGGATTTTCCCCCTAGAGCTTCTAGAAAGGAATGCAGCCTGTGGACACCTTAGTTTTAATCTGCTGAGACCAGTACCGGACTTCTGACCTACAGAACTCCAAGATAACAAATATGTATTGTTTTAAGCCACTAAGTTTATGGAAATTTGTTACAGCAGCAATAGGAAACTAATACACTGAAGTTTTCAGTTTATCTATTTGTCTGGTCTTACCAGCAATACTGTTGAATTCACGAACCTAGCAAGTATGGAAATGATGTGGGGTAATGGAGAGATGAGTTCTTGGATATATTGCATTGGAGAGGCAGTGACATGGGACATTCACATGGCAGTGTTCAGGCCACACTTGGCCATGTGGGACTGGAATTCAGGAGGTGGAAATAGTTTTGAAAGAACTATGCCAGGGAGGCCATGTAGGGAAAGAATCTCCATCAGTTTCTTGAGTTTCCAGTTCCTCTGGCTCCATTTGACTTCCATTCTAAGCTTATGTATGCCAAACTCATGCTCATCATAATTGGAATATATGGACTTTGTTTTGAAAAAAAATCACCAGGGAATCATACTGAATAAATTTTATAGACAGATCACAGTCATTTTATTTATTGACTTAAATTGAGACTTCAATAAATGGATAATGCTTTAAAATTTGCACTTTGTGGTTTCCAAAGGAAAATCTGAAAATTTAAATGGTTTCCCTTTCTTTGTTTATGAATCTTTTTAACAATGGAAATGTTTTGTCTCCTAAGAGTAGCATGGAGCTCAAATATATGACTCATTGGAAATGACGACCACCTCTTTAGTTGTAAAAAATGGGAAGTTAGGAGAGAGCCCAAGAGAAACATAGGCTGAGACTCAGGAAAATGTAAGGCCTCTGAGGACATCTCTCTGTTGGACCAGGACGGTGATGCATGGAGCATCATAATGGGAGACAGAAAAAATGAATAAAATATTAGTCACTGAGCAATTGAGTCCCTAAAAAAAAAATTCCTACATTAAAAAAAAGCAGATGATAACAATTAAAAAAAACTCTCTAGCGTTTACCAGATTCACTCCCTTCTTCAAAGCAGAGCGCTGCCTTTCCTGTTGGGAGTGCTGGGAGCCCTGTAGGTTCTGTGATGGAAGAGGTCAGCTCTGCCTATGGACTGGTCTGGTCTAGTCCTTGATCTACATTTTAATCAGGTTCTAACTCTTGATCGTGAGTCCGTACATATCAAACTTGACTACCCAGGGATAGTGGACCAGTTTTGTGGGTTTCCCAGGAAGCTTCCTTCTCTGCTCTGGCCCTCCTATTACCCTTGAGTTGTCTGTTTCATTTAATATCAGACAAAGGTGTGAAACTCAAATCAGTCCCTTGCCATGTCGGTACCCAGCTCTGGTCAAAAGATTTAGCAGTGGAAAAGGTTGGACTGATTGGTGGCTATGGTGTGGCAGTGAGCAAAATTGTAAAGGAAGCAGTATTAGCCTCTGTTGCCCTCCAGCATCACTCTGTTCATCCCTTTTCCCTGGTATTCAACTCTTCCCCAGTGCCTTCATTCTTCTCCCTGCCTGTGCTATGCTCTGGCCCCACTCCTCCTCATCTGCCCCACTCAGACAGGGTCATTCTCAGAGTAGATTATATTGAATGTTGATTCTAGTGCTTTTCCACATGGCCCAGTATGGTAGGTCTTTGCTAGATGATCAGAGGAATTTACCTAATTAGAATTAGTTCATACTAAAGTGTGAATGACTGATTGCCCCTTAGTGCTTTCAAGAATATTTATAGAATTAAACTCCTATTAACAGATTATTTCATTGGTGGAATGTTAAAGTAACATGAGGGAATATATTGAAGGACAGAGACCTAGGAGCTCCGGGGGGCTACCAAGTACATTTCCCTGTGCAATTTTGGTTTCCAAACATACTTATTCTTTCCTTTTAATTGTATGTCAAAATATCACTGTGTAAATGACTATTCTTTTGTAATTAAGAAAATTAAAAATTTATAGGGTAATACCCAATGTGGGTGAGGGTTTGGGGAAGTAACACTTATGTACTGCAAAGGGTAGTATAAATTGGTTAAAGTTTTCTGTTGAGCAATTTGGCAATCAAAATTCATGGAGTTCCTGAAGGAAATAAACAAGTATGTATGCAAACATTTAGCCAAAAGGATTTATTGCAGCATCGTTTGTAATCGTGAAAACTGTATACACCAACGTGCCCATCCAAAGGAGATTTGTTGTATAAATTAATGGTGCATCCAATAAATGAAATGCTATGCAGCCATCACAAATGGTGTTGTAGAAAATTGTTTAATGATTTTGAACAATATCCAGGATATACCGTCATGAGGAAAATCAGGTTATAAATAGTCGGTGATGATGATTTTTGCATACATATATTTATCTGTCATTTCTGAACTTTCTTCAGTAAGAATGTGTTATTTTTCATAGCAAAAAAAAAATTTTTTAAAGAATCTCAGCATTTTCCCAAAATAAATAACTCAGCAGTTCTGTAGTTATACACCCAGAGGGATTTGATCTAATTTAACTCATAAGATGCATAAGGAAGACTGAAGAAGGATTTATGCCTTTGAATTATGGTGTTGGCAGAGAATATTGAATATATCACGGGTTGCCAGAAGAATGAATAAGTCTGTCTTGGAAGAAGTACAGCCAGCATGCTCCGTAGAAGTAAGGATGCAAGACTTTGTCTCATGTACTTTGGACATATTATCAGGAGGGACCAGTCCCTGGAGAAGGACATCATGCTTCATAAGGCAGAAAGTCAGTGAAAAAGTGGAAGACCCTCAATGAGATGAATTGACATGGTGACTGCAACAGTGGGCTCAGACATAGCAACAATTGTGAGGATGGCGCAGGACTGGGAAGTATTTTGTTGTACATAGAGTCACTGTCAGTTGGAAACGACTCGACAGCACCTAACAACAACTCATAGAAGGAAGTATTGGCTTAATAGGTGGAGAGTCTGTGGTAAAAAGGAGCATAGTTAATGGAAGCTTAATTTATGCAGATGTACACATTTCCTTTTTTTTTTTTTACAAGTTTTAATGAACGTGTTAGCCAACAACCGAGGTTCTTAGTCATCATTTTTTAGTTCAAGATGCACTATACTATTATATAATGAAATACAGAGCACCGGCAACAGTTAAAGATAGGAAAGATGGCTTCACCCAAACCAAAAACCGAACCCATTGCTGTCAAGTTGATTCCGACTCATAGCAACACTATAGGACAGAGTAGAACTGCCTTAATAGCGTTTCCAAGGCTGAAGTCTTTATAGATCAGACTGCCACATCTTTCTCCTGCAGAGCAGCTGGTTGGATTAGCAGCCTTTCAGTTTGCAGCCAAGCGCTTTAACCGCTGCACCACCAGGGCTCCTTATGGTTTCACAAGATATGTCTTTTTAGAGAATTGAAAAGAAGTACTTCTTAACTCACCTGTTGAAAATAATAGTAAATTAACATACTGCCCTCTTCTGGTAGCTCTCTGCAGCTCAGTTTATATTCAGTCCCAATAGAGACGTTGTTAGCTGCCCTGGAGTCGGCCCCCAACTAATGGTGACTCCATGCACAGGGGAACGAAGCGCTGCCCATTCCTGTACCATCTCCATGATCGGTTGTATGGAGTCACCATTATTTGGTGACCATTAGTCATGAGTGGTAGCTGTGCATAAGGTACGCTGGCCGGGAATCGAACCCTGGTCTCCTGCATGGAAGGCAAGAATTCTACCACTAAACTGCCAGGGCCTCAGAATAAAGATGTAGAGTATACAATTTTATACTTAAACTAATTTATTAGTCACTTTTAACTAAACGAATCACTTTTTTCCCAACAGAAGATGCTGATAATTCCAGTTTGGTATCACCATCTGGTAAGACTTATTTCATGACTTTGGGGAATTTTAGAAAAATATTATTCTAAAAATTCTCAGTACAGTATGGCATGTGGTCAGATAGAGTAAAACGGTTTTCCTCCAGGAAGTTTAATTGAACTACCCAATGTGAAATTTTGTCATTGAACATACACCTGGATAACCAATAGCAATCATACACAAGATGACCAGCATAATGATCCTGCACATTGTGGACAAGGAGCCTTGGTGGCACAACAGTTAAGCACTCAGCTGCTAGCTGAAAAGCTTGGCGTTTCAAACCCACCCAGTGGCTCTAAGGGAGAAAGAGCTCCCATAAAGATTACAGCCCAGAAAACCCTGTGGGGCAGTTCTGCTCTGTCACATGGGGTTACTATGGGTTGGAATCAACTTGACGGTACCTAACAACAACGACGATACATTGTGGACAAAGCAGTGGAGTAAATTGTGGATTTTAAAAGTTATTTTTAGTGTTCTGGTTCACAAGTGTCCTGAAGAGTATTAAGAACATAAACATGCCAAGCGTCCCTATATTTGAAGGACAATATGTTCTCTTAGACATACTCTCTTAGTACCCTACTGAAAGAATATTTTTCAAAAGGCTTCTGAGGGCTTAGCACTCAGGAGAATCCGAGATTGTGGAAAGGCAAATAAAGAGCCATCTATAACTAGGACCAGTAATGCAGGAACCAGGCACAGAAGCCGCATTTGAGGCTGGTAACTGAAACGCAGCAGGATGCTAGGGAGGAAGTGGTCCAGCCCTGTCCCTCAGCTGATGAGGCAGTGAAGCCTGGAGTGGCTGAATAACTTGCCTAAGGTCACACAGCTTCTTGCCCCACATCACACAGTGGCGGCACATAGCTTCTCTGACTCCTAGTTCTGTATTCTTTCTGGTTTACCATATATTCCAGAACAGTCTCTCATGCTAAGGAGTGAATCAACTCACCTTCTGCCCATAGTTATGTAAAAACGAGCTTCTTCTGCTATTCGTTTATCTATTTAAATCAAATTAATAACAACAGACGTTACTTCTTGTGTACCTGGAGGTTTTCAGACGCCTTCTCATTCTCCTCTCAATCTTGCAACGTAGAATCATTATATTTATGTTATAGATGAAGAAACTGAGGCTCAGAGAGGATAAAACTTGCCCATGTTCACACATTCTTTGGAGCTAGACTGCTTGTGTTTAAATATGGCCATGCTCCCCCATCCCCATTGCTAGCTGTGTGACTTTGAACAAGTTCCTTAATCTTTCTGTGCCTCAGTTTCCTCATCTGTAAATCGCAGGAGAATAACAGTACCTGCTTCATTCAATTGTTGTGAAGACCAAATGAGATAAACACGTGTCTGGCGCAGAGTAAACCCTCAATAAATAGTAACTAGTACTCTTAACAGTTAGGTAATGGGCAAAGACTCAAACCCAGGACTGCAAAGCTCCAAAGCCCCAGCTCTTTTTACCGTGCCAATTTACCCCCCCCCCGACACACACACACACACACACACACAGTTGTTAAGCTTCTAGAATAAAATAAACTACTGTATTTGTCTTAAGGAGCCCTCGTGGTGCAGTAGTTAAGTGGTTGGCTGCTAACTGAAAGGTTGGTGGTTCAAGCCCACCAGCTGCTCCATGGGAGAAAGCTGTGGCAGTCTGCTTCCGTAAAGATTACAGCTGTGGAAACCCTATGGGGCAGTTCTACTCTGTCCTGTAGGGTTGCTGTGAGTCAGAATCAACTTGACAGCAGTGGGTGGTATTTGTCTTCCACTAGAATAGCTGTCAGCTGACTTAATCGTGGTGTTTTATTTGCAAAATCCTGTTTGCATGGAATGGGGAATGGAGCTTGGGATCACACAGTGCACTGGGTCACAGCCTAGATGCTCGGTGCCCTGGGGTTGAGCTGCACAAACTGGACGGTAAGGACCAATGTGCTCACAGCCTCTTTGGATGGCATCACCACCCATCAACATTTGGAAGAATTGCTGTTGTTGTTGGGTGCTGTTGAGTTGATTCCAACTCATAGCGACCCCGTGTGACAGAGTAGAACTGCCCATGTGGTTTTCTAGGCTGTAATCTCTATGGGAACATATCACCAGGTCTTTCTCCCTCGGAGCCGCTGGGAGAACGCACTTAACCGTTGTGCCTCCAGGGTTCCTTTTTGGAAGAAATAACAATCATTAATTAAAAAACAGCTTTGTCCAATGATTTTGTCCTGCCCAAAGAGGAAAGGATTCTGCATCCACACTTCGAATCGTATTGCTCAGGAATGGTCTTATTTCTAAAGAAATGTCCTGGTGATTAAAATAAATAGATAAATAAATGTAGTAAATGACAAAATGTGGAAGCAATACTTTGGGACAGACAGGGTGTGTGTATTTCGGCCAACGCATGAGCTGTCTGAAACAGACAGGCTAGCCAAGCGCCTTGACACACCCAAATCTTGTCCTCACCGGCTAAAAATCAAGCTCCCTGCTGCAAAACTTGTTTCAGTGGTAAAATGTTTATATTTGCTTTTTCTGTGTTTAGGTACAGGTCAAGCCCATTGGTTCTTTTTAATATTTAAACATGCCAAATGTGTGTAGTAGATTGACCTCTTAGCGTAAGTGGAGTCATTCCACAGAAAATTTATAACTTGATTGATTGTCTTAATAGCAGCCACATTTTAAAATAATGTACCAGGAAGTTGTGTTAGGTAGTATTGAATGGTAGAGTTTTTTTGTTTTTTTTTTAAATCCTATTGTTCACTTTGGGAAGAGTTGCCAGGCGTCATTATAGCAGAATGGAGCCAGTATGCCAATATATTTCATGATTGTAGTCCAACAAATTATTAAAAGCATGAAGTATTTTCTAGAACGTTCTGCCTGAAAAGTTTTGACAGTAGTATTTCTCATATTTGGGCGTGGGTCCTAAACTTAATTCTTTAGTATTTTGTAGATACTAGTAGGCTTTGTGGTCCCGGGTCTCAGTTTCTTCATCTGTAAAATGAGATGGTTGTATTTGTTCGGTCCCTTGGGTTTTTTTCTACAATTTGATTAAATGTATACTCACTGAGTGATTACAGGACTTGCCGATTTAACCAAATGTTGGTCTGACAGCATATTTTTTGCTTTTCTCCCCATAATTAGACGTTCTAACGCCTTAAAATTCAGTAAATAATTATTTCAAAGCATTCATTTTAAATTTTGTCTTTTTTTCTTTTTCTCCTGCAGCTGAATCATCTCGTGTTGGTTTTATCCGCTTCTCCAATGGTACTCCAGGCAAGATTTTGAACAATTTTAAGCCTAAATTTAGCTCAATTTGTTAAGTTTTGGATTTAATTATACCTTTGTATTGTTTTTCTCTTTGGTCCGAAAGAGGTCGAAACTACAAGCCTCAATGTAAGAATTATTTTCCTGAAGCAAGTGAAAATTGACATCCCTTCATGTGAATATAAATATAATGAACGGTGTCGAGAGTTTCCATTTCTAAGTTATTTCTGAATACATTGAGTAGTTTCAAATGCCGCCACCCCTCCCCGGCAAAACCTCCCCCAAACAAAAAACTGTCAACAGTGGAACTCGTTAACCATTGCCATCGAGTCAATTCCAACTCATAGCAACCCTATAGGATGGAGTAGAACTGCCTCATAGGATTTTCTAGGCTGTACTCTATGTGGGAGCAGATTGCCTGATCTTTTCTCCCTTGGAGAGGCTGGTGGGTTTGAACCGCTGACCTTCGGTTAGCAGCCAAGCACTTAACCACTGCGCCCCCAGGGCTCTTTGTCAACCATGGAAAGCTACCTAAAATTTCTGGTGAAATGATAACATTTGGATTATCATGGAAGGAGAACAGCCCTCCACCATTAACTGTTCTAGAAAAGAAAAGAAAATATTGACCACATTTGAAGTACTCCATTTCACTTGCTCTGCAACACAAGTGCCAACAAATTTTACATGACAGATTGTTTAAATGTGAAAGGTACATCCAGTGACTCCAAGATTCAGCCTGGGTTTGGAGGCACAGCGCGTTCATTCAAAGACAGCCCTTTTACCGGTGATTTTATCGATTTTTAAATACTAGTATGAAATGAAAAAAAATTGGCTTCTTCATCACTCTAGAGAAAAGGGCAAAGAACTGGGTTATATTCGAAGGAAATGACAGGCAGCACACTCTGTTCCCTGCCACTTTTCACAATAATTTGAAATAACTGTTGATTGAATTTTAAGGAGTTAGGCCCATGATCACAAAGCCTGCTGGTACCTGCTAGTACCATAGTTAAACTAAAGTCGCATGCTGTGGTTGGTGGTTAAGGAGCTAAGCAATCATAGATATCGGCTCACATGGATTGAAACTGGTTTAAATTCATATTTGGCTTAACAGGAAGGGCCAAATGGTATTTTTATGTGCCATTACTTTTTTTTTCATTTATTTTGTTGTTGTTGAGAATATACACAGCAAAGCAAACACCAACTCAACAGTTTTTACGGGTACAATTCAATGACACTGACTATATTCTTGGAGTTGTGCAACCATTCTCACCCTCCTTTTCTGAATTGTTCCTCCCCCATTAACATAAACTCACTGCCCCCTAAGATTCCTGTCTAATTTTGAGTTGCTGTTGTCACTTTGATCACATATAGATAGTTCTTAAAAAAGCACAATGCTCAAATGCCATTACTTTTTGCATTGAAAGGAATAGCTTGAAAATAGTTTTGGCAGCGGTTTCTGAACCCCGTTTTCAGTGTTTGTTGATTTGTTTCTTTAAGTGTGACAATGTAATAAATGTTTTTTTCCTAAAACTTTGTCTAGAAAAGTAAATTCTAGAATGATTTTCATGTAAGGAATACCAATAGAGTAGATTTAAGATTGGATTTTGAGTCAAACAAGGTCAAAATGAGATTTTCCTAAAGGTTAGTGGAATATAATATTCAAGAACTCCCAGTTTAAACTAGAATTACTTAAAGATTGCTTTATAAGAGTGTATCATTAGGTAAAAATGTCCTAAGCATCCATCAGAATATCATATCCCTTAGGGACTTTCATTATAATAGGGGGAAAAAAAGGAACAATATATTAAACAGCGTAAATGGGTTTATTTAAATCTAGTAATTGTAAGAGTGTTGCTATGTGTTAGAGTCCCTGCGTGGTGCAAATGGTTAATGTGTTCTTCTGCTAACCAAAAGGTTGGAAGTTCAAGTCCATCCAGAGGTGCCTTGGAAGAAAGGCCTGGTGATGTACTGCCAAAAAATCAGCCATTGAAAACTCTATGGAGCATAGTTCTACTGTGACACACATCAGGTTACCGTGAGTCAGAGTCGACTCAATGGCCACTGGCTTTTGGCTGTGTGTTAAGACACATAACTTGAGTTGAGGAAACACATTTTGAGTGAATGAACTCTGGCTCAGGACTTGTCCCTGGGGTTGAAGGATGCATAGTGATGAGGGGATGGACAGCAGATACATTCAGTAGTGTCAGTTCGCTTTTGCAAAACACTGTTAACCTCTCCCGAATTTCAGGCAAAGTGAAATGTTTAAGGAACCTAGGAAGACACAGTAGTTATGCTAATTTTTGTTGTTTTCATTTCAGATGCTACTTCAAGCGTATTATCCACTTTAAACAAAACAGGTAATAACACATTCCTTCTAAGTCTAATACTATGTTTCTGTGGCTTCTTGAGTTTTACACTGTGTAATCTACTAGGCTAGTAAAGAGTTGTCCTTTCTGTCCTTTCTCACTTCCCTGTGCCATCAGCTGTTGATTTATTACTCCTTCTACACATGGGGTCGCTGTGCATTGGAATCGAGCCGACGGCAGCGGGTTTGGTTTTTGGTTTTCGTTTTACATTGACATTGAACTGTAATTCTGATATCTCCACGTTCCCAGACTTCCGAACTGTTATGGCTACAGCACTCCATTGAAAATAACAGTTATTATTTATCTGATTATAGTGGTAATACATATTAGCCCATAAAAAAATGGAGAATATAGAAAAATACAAAGAAAAAATACAACTCTTCTTTAAGGGTACTACTGTTAATGATTTTGTATATTTCCATTCAGCATCATATATTTATATATATATAAATGCCCTGGTAGTGCAACGGTTAAGTGCTCTGCTGCTAACTGAAGGGTTGACAGTTCAAACCCACCCAGCAGCTCTGCAGGAGAAAGACCTGGTGATCCCGTAAAGATTACAGCCTAGGAAGCCCTATGGGACAGTTTTACTCTGTCACACATGGGGCCACTATGAGTTGAAAATTGACTTGATGGCACCCAACAGCAATGTATACATATACACTATGTATATATCTTTACAAAATTGTCATAGTTTACATAGATTTTTATATCTTGCCTTTTTGACTTAATATTATATTTTCCAGTGTCCCTTACTATTAATGATGAGAATATTCCATTGTGTACCATATGTTGAACATTAAAATTGTTTCTATTTTTTAGTAGAAATTGTTGCAGTGAACATCCTTGTGCCAACATCTTTACATTCATCCCCGATTTCTTTAGGATACACTCCAAGGATTGGACTTAATGGGTCAGCATTATGAATACTTTAAGACCCCTGATACCTGCTGCCCAGTTGCCTTCTAGAAAGGTTATACCGAGCAACATTGCTGTCAGCAGCAGATGAGATTCTCTCTTGTCACTCTACCTTTGCTGAGACTATATCATTTATCATTAAATCTTTTTCTCATTTCCTTAGATTTTATTTTTCACTTCTTGATTAGTGGTGAGGTTAAACATTTTCCCCACCAAAGCATTGTTATTTCTAGAACCAGAAGTTCATTTCACAGGTATGTTTTGTTTGCTCTGGAAAGGAAAGTATTAGTGCAAACAAATTATATATTTAAAGGATTCTTAATTATAATGCAAAATGCCATCAGCCTCTCTAAGAAATTGCCACCAATCACTGCCCAAGGGTCACACATTGAAACAGAAACTTATCAATCACACACACGCAAATGAGATTTCTGAAACTAGCATCATTCTTAAATGCATCTCTAAGCTCCGAGCTTTGTCTCGTCTTCAGAATTTGCCAATCCATTCTAGGAGAAAGTGCCTTTTCGCAAATCTGAGTCCTCAACACAGCCTCTTCTGATTGTCCATCCTTACAGCAAGGATTTCTAAACGTAGTCCTCCATTATCTGGGGAATGAACCCGGGGCTGTGTTCCCAAAGTGTGTTGGGAAGATATTCCTAAGGTTTGTTCATCAGAGTATAATAATATTTGCCTGTGAGTCATTGACTGTGAACAGTCCTGATTCTGTTATGGGCTTATTGTGTGACTGTAGCTAGATGGCCGTGACCTCTCTGAGAAAAATTTTATCCATCAGTGCTGTGGGGATAATATTGTCTTAGCTCCTAACGAAAATAACAGGACACTTTCTTGATTGTGGAGTATAGTAGCAATTTTACAGATCCTGTAATTTTTACTCTGAATCAGCTGAATCAGCTCTTTACAAGCTATCCCCTGCAGGTCCTGATAGTGACTTAATTCTACATATCCAAAGTGTAAGTCCACATTTGTTTAGCAGCAGTGCCTGGAAATTGAAGTAGAATTACAAAAACAGTGGGGTGTGTAATGGGTGTGATCTAACTAGGTAAACATGGGAATCTAACTCCCAGACCCATCCCTATGCTAACGCTGTATGATCCACTTATGCGATTCCTGTTCATTCTGCTGCTGAGATGACCGATACTTTCTTAAAGGTGTCAGCCGTGTGATTTTCTTAGCACTTCACTAAAATGATACTCGGCAGAAATGGCAAGTTGTTTTTTTAAAAACAAGCAACAATTCTGCTCTAATGTTTAAATTGCTTCTTTGCAGAAAAAACTAAAATCACTATATTAAAACCCTTCAATGCATCAGGTATGATTTATTATCAATATCAAGACTTTCTTTTTTATAACTCAAGTAAAATTAAACAAATGGCTGGTGTTTATGTTTTTCTTTCTCTTTTCCCTACCTTTTAAAAATAAAATCTGTTCTTAATGAATAGATGTTTATGCACTGGGTACCTGGAGTTGTACTAGGTGTTTGGGGCTATATAATGATGATCAGACACAGTTCCTATCCTCAAGAATTTTCTAGTCTATAAGAGGAGACAAGACAAACAAATATAACTAACATGACCATTATGCAGATAAAGACAACAATTACACGAGTGTTTCTTAAGAGGCATAGGGGATGCAAGGGCTGGTACTAATGAGTTTATTGATAAGATACAATTAGTGAAGAAAAGACTGTTGGAGGAGTGAACCTCCAACTCTTTTTAAATTAAAGAAGAGATATGCTTTTAAGTACCTAGTGCAAGGCTAGGCACTCAGTGTACACACTTAACAAAGGCTTTTGGTTGATTTAAAGAAGAGCTTGGCAAACTTTGGCTGGTGGGCCAAATCTGGCCCACCATCTTGTTTTCATAAATAAAGTTTTATTGAAACAGCCATGCCCATTTGTTTATATACTGTCTTTGGCTACTTTTCTCCTACAGTGAATAGTAGAGTTGAGTAGTTATGACAGAGACCGTATGGCCTGCAAAAAAGCCTAAAATACTTACTCTCTGAGCCTTTACAGACATTTTTTGACTCATGATTTAAAGGATGACCTGTGGCCATGTTCTTGAGGGAAATTACAGATAATGGCCCTAGCAATAGGAAAGAAAATCCTCGGGGTGAATGAGCAGCAAAAAGACACAGTTCACTGGAAATGAAGGTGCAGCTAGAATTTAGAGAAAGATGAGAGATGATAGAATGACAAGCTTAGCGAGCAGTAGACCAGTGGTTGTAAAGAATATTTAAAACATCACTACTTACTGTCTATATATTCTATAATATTTACATAGTGTATATTTTAATAGTAAGTTATAAGTATATTTTAAACGAAATACTTCTCTTTTGGTGTAGAACTGTACAGAAATCTACATGGCCACGTAACTTTTGACACCTAAATTCAGTTTGCTCAAAAGAATCAAAACCCTTAGCTAAAGACTGGTATCTACACACCAAAAGTCAACTAAATAATTCTGACAGAAACTATATCACACGCACTAACTTAAATTTTAGTTTGTGTCCAAACTTGTTTTCCCATGGAGAAGAACTAGGGACTCAATAATGTGCAATGGAAATAAAATAGCAACCAGACATTGCATACATAATTCCGACCAAATCAGATCTAACAAGGAGACTAAAATATTCCTGAATATAACAACCTTATTTCCTTGGCAGTTTGCTCTATACATTATCAGCATCTGCCCCTCACATTTATTATGGATTTCTTAGGCTCTGCCAAAAGGATGCAATTAACAAAGGAAGGACTCTTAGAGGAGTAAACCAAAATCAAAGAAGAGATGTACTACTTTCACCAAAGGAGAAAGTGCTTCTCATATGCTTACGTATGAAGTTTTTTGTTCTAACACGGCTCATTTCCTCTCCCATTCATCTCTGCCCCCTTTGTATCTTTGTGTGGTCTGTTGTTCTGGCCATCACTCCATTCTGCCCTTACTATAACTTTTTATTTACTGGCCCATATCGCCCTGAGACACCTCGGAAGACAGGCCTGGCGATCTGCTTCTGAAAGGTCACAGCCTTGAAAATCCTCTGGGGCAGTTCTATTCTGTACACAAGGGGTTGCCATGAGTTGGAATCGACTCGATGGCAAGGAACAATAACAACACCCACTAGATTGTAAGCTCCTTGAGGCCAAGGTCTGTATCTGGAAGCTCCCAAAGCCAGTAGAATATAGTAGGTGCTCATCAAACATTTTTAAAATTGTGTCATTCTTGCCCATGTGAAGTGATATCCTGACATTAATGTTTTTTGATACAAACATTTGCATAAGGGACTAGGAGCAGCATTAGTGTGTTCATGGACTCCTCTACCTGGGAAAAGAAGGAGGATCTATGGTTAAGGGCTATTCCACTTAAAGTCACTATCCTTGATTTGTATTCGTGATCTGTTTATATTGGACAGGAGAAGGCTTCATTAGGATTGGGATGAAGACATTTAGGAAGGAGTTGGGGATCAGAAGTCCTATTACCTAAAGAATCCTAAAGAATCGAGTTGCATGGTTGATCAACTAAGAAATGAAAACTCTCTCACTCCTTTAGGCTTTATGGAATTTATCCAGCCAACTTTTGCTTATAATATTTTTGGCCCATACTTGATGCCTAAATTTGTGAATTCTCTTTACATTGTGGTATATAGGTGCAAGTGTTGACATGCTTAACTGGCTGGGTTGTGTTTTCTTTGCAGGAGTCAAACCCCAGAAAAATATCTGCAATTTGTCATCTATCTGCAATGGCTCAGGTTAGTTCTGTGTACATGTTACTGGGTAAATTAGCTCCATAGAGAAAAATGATTTGTTTTTCTCATGTTGAGTATGTGGTGTGTGCCTCTCTGATCTGTGTCTTTTCATACCACCTGTCTACTAAGGTTCCCTAATAAAAACAAAAGCAAATTTTAGATCTAGCTAAAAGTATGTTCCTGTTTTCTAGTGAGGTGATGGATGAACTTTAATATGAGACATGAAGCTCTACACCAGATATTTTTCTCTATACCTTTAAATCCATAAGTAATGCCCTTAGTTTTAGTTTGAGGGAATTCATGCACAAAATTTATAATGACATTAAGAATCAATGAAAGCCATTTCTTGTACATAAATCCCTCAAGCTTTTTCATGGGACCTTGAGCATTATAGCTTAAAAGCAGGATGTTGTCTTTTGCTAAGAATAAAACAAATCACTTTGCTAGAATGTTGAGACCTCACGTACACTTAGTTTAATTGATGCTTATTAGTGTATTTTGCCATCTTTAAGATTCTCCACTATTTTTAAAAATTGAGATGGAAATCTCTTGAGAACATGCTAATTTTGAAATGGGAATATTTTGCCTTTTGCCATGGGCTAGAAAGAATGAAACAACCACTTTTCTCACGTTGGTTTGGCTCTCTGGGATCCCTTCCTGGTTAAAACCAACAAAAGCAGATATGAAAAACAGAAAAACATGGCGTGGCAGGTCAGAGCTGGACAGGAGATGATGGGAAGGAAGAAGAGGAAGGTAACCAGGTATTTTATAATATTAATGACTTTATATGACTTCAGTAATGTAAAAACAATCATTATAGGAATGTCTTCCTTTTGTTCTGTTCCTTTTGACAGTTTTAACAGTGTTTGATAACATTGTTTGAAAAACACAGGTAACTATTTCAAGTAAAATAAGTTAAGGTTGGATAGTTCAGAAGACAAGAAAATTTCCTACTGAAAGATGTTCCACAAACACTTTCTATTTGTGTGAATGTATGATTTGCTCACATGAGCTTTCTGCTGGTATTATATTCCAGGTAGGATATAGCAGAGAAATATTAGCAGATTTTGATTAAGGGGGGAAAAAAAGCCTTATTGGATACATTTCATTTTTCATATATTATATAACTTTTCTCTTCCTCCTCCATCCCTCTTCTCTTACCCTTTTATTTACTGAATTCCCCATAATTTCATTATTTTTGTGCCTCATCTATGTTTTGGGCTGGTGACTAATGTCTAGTTCAGTGTTATGTCTACACGATGTTTGATAACTGTTTGAAAATTGAACATTTAGTCAAAAGAAAAGAAAAAACCCAACTGGTCATCTTGAATAACAGATGCCAGAAAGCTGGTTGGAGTAATGTTTTCCCCAATTAAGTGACTGAATTGACCATTTGTTTTCATGTCTGGTGAGAACATACTCATCAGAGGACCGACTAACTCTTTTGGCACCAGAAATTCTGCCATGCCCTGCTAGAAACTAGAAACTTGCACTTCTTGCAGGTTGCAATCTGGGCTTATTAAGGGAACTGGAGGCTGGTGAAGAAACTGGGAGCTGACCAGGAAGAGTTAGGCTGAAGGTCAAAAGGTGGTGACTTCCTGGTTGCTCTGCCACTGATGTGCTTCCAGCATTTTTATAAGACTCAACATGCACTCAACAAGACTGATGGATGAACTTGGAGAGTGGAGGGGTAAAGGAGAGAAATTGTAGGTATTGACACACACGCTCATTTGCTCACTCACTAAATAAATTTTTTTTAAACTAACAATTCAAAAACAGTCGTAGCTGTACATCTACAGGGAACTGCCAGAAAGTCAAGCCAGATTCAGAAGAGGACGTGGAACAAGGGATATCATTGCTGATGTCAGGTGGATCTTGTCTGAAAGCAGAGAATACCAGAAGGATGTTTACCTGTGTTTTATTGACTACACAAAGGCATTCAACTGTGTGGATCATAACAAATTACAGATAACATTGCAAAGACTGTGAATTCCAGAACACTTAATTGTGCTCATGAGGAACGTGTGCGTAGACCAAGAGACAGTTGTTCGAACAGAACAAAGAGATACTCTGTGGTTTAAAATCAGGAAAGGTGTGTGTCAGGGTTGTATCCTTTCACCATACTTATTCAATCTGTATGTTGAGCAAATAATCTGAGAAGCTGGACTATATGAAGAAGATCGTGGCATCAGGATTGAAGGAAGACTCATTAACAATCTCCGATATA